AAATAAATAAATAAATAAATAAATAAATAAATAAATAAATAAAGAGGGTCCCTTTGCTTTTTTTCAAGCTTCATTTTGGTGGTTCTGAATGTCTGTGTGAATAGTCAGGATTCTGTCCTTTTGAGAATCAAAATTCATTTGGAATACAATGTAAGGGAATTTCACATAAGCAAAGACTTCAGAATACATTCCGTTTAAGTTTATATTGCTGACAAGATACTGAAACATTTTACTCCAGCATTCCTTAAACCTATTTTGTTTCAGGCCAGCAAGATTGAGAGCCTTTTGTGTTTCTTCCTGAGCACAAAGCGGGGACTCACTTGTCACCATTTAATTATTAATTTGTGCTTACTTTTTAAGATTCTTCGGAGGCTCCCCACTGGCTGATGGTCCAAAGAGCTTTCAGCAGCTTTAAATTTCAGAGATGGTGGATGTGTGCCTTGCAGGCCATTAACTCTAGTGTTGCTGAAAAAGCCTGAAATTGAAAAACAGCAGGTTGGTGGTTAATTTTGGCCTCATGCTGAATTTGGAGCAGTGCAGTTTCATGGAACTGGAAACCCTGAATGGGAGCGCTGTGCTCTGGTTCTGGACATCTCTCTAAGGAACGTAACAGGATAGATTATTCAGCCTCCTGTCCTCTTCACTGGAAACACTCCTTGTCTCTATGTCATTCTTCTTTCATTTTCTCCATTTTATTGGCTAATGTTTACAACACATTAATTTAGTATTTCTTTCAACTTTACATACACGAGAGTACATCAGAATGATGACACCATGCCTTCTTCCATCAGTGAGTACAATGTATAAATCATCTGTAGTAAATCGGCAGTTATGCTGAAAAAGTGCTGGGTAAAATCTGCCTTGTTCCTGAGTATTGTAAGCAGACATTACAAGTATTTTCAGCTTTCTAAGATAGTACATTCATTTAATAGACTAAATCCAATTAGTCTACTAATTCCAGTTTTTAAATTCTTCTCTAGGTGGTTGTTTTCCCTGAAAGAAAAATATGTGCTTCTCTTTCTTGTGTTATTTTCCTCTTATAGGTTAAAAAAAAGGAAAGATAGGTAAAGTCCAAGGGCCATGGAGGAGAACTTGCTACTTTCTCAGACAGCATGAATGTAGGGAGGGGGACTACTGTGGTGAGGTTGGAGGCAGAGAGGCTGGGAGCTGGCCCAGCTGTGAGATTTAGTGGCACAGTGCTTGTGATAGCTCTGATGGTATTTAGAGCAGGGTGATTTCATGGAAAAGGCAACAAAGAATCTAATGCCACCCGCAAATTGAGGAGAGCTCTGTACCTCCCTCGACTTAGATAATTTTCTAGACAAACTTACAGTAGTTATTGGCAGCTTTTATAGTTTACTACAGGGAAGGGAATTGTCCAAAAATCAGTCAAAGGAGGAGACTCATGGAATAGTCTAGAAAGTTCCAAATGCTATCTTTCTCTGTGTAGTGCCTTCCTAGCACTGCCGGATGATAACTCACAGGGTATATTGCCAACCAGAGAAGCTTGCTAAGTTCCAGTGCCCACAAGTGTATGTTTTGTTTCACTGTGTAGACAGATTGTTTGGCTGAATGGTTGAACTCATTCTCCAGGTCAGCTGGTATTAGCTTATCCTTGGGACTTAAACCCTTGCTCAATTATGATTGATCCCCTACTGTGATCAGTTGCTAGTGAACATGACTAGCCTTATCCAAAGATCTAGTGTTTTCATCCCCACCTTAAACAAAGACACCCCTATCAACAATGATATTAGCTCTCCAAAGCTGAGGGAAAAGAGGCCAGTTGGAGCAAGGTCAGATGCATCACATAAAAGGCTAGATAGTAACTTTTCATGGACTTTGGGATCAATCATTCTGGCTTGTCTACTGTTCTGAAAGGCTGGTGAACTTACTCTTGCCATCTTACCACTCTCTGGCTAAAATAGTCCTTTGCTGCACCTCGGAGATGACTATGGTTCTCACCTCTTAGATATGGTAAGGATTAAAGACCACATCAGGGCATATATATATTAACTTTGTAAGTCAAGCTGCTACTATTTTCCTCATTTCAACAGTTATTGTGTTTATCATATAGTCAACTTATTGTTGCTGTGACAAATTGTATTTATTAGTGTTACTGGTATTTGAAGTAGGCAAAATATAAGTTCATAGTTTCAGAGTCTTTCTGGGCTATGTGATCTTGTTTCCTTTGTTTCACTGTTCATGAAGTCTATTGCTGTGTTTTTTATTCATTTTATTCATTCTTCTGCAGAGAATCTCCTCTGCAATTCTGCTGAGTGTTCAAAGAAAGGAAAAGAATGTGCATTCCACATCCCCTGGAACATTTGTTTGTTTTCACAAATGCTCTGGCAATGATTATACAACTGCAGTTGCAAAGTGCTGAGTGATAGCATTAGCTCACTGCTTTACACACACATGGTATTATGAGAGAGGTTTGCTTTCTTTCTGTGTACGTAGAAATTTTCTTTTATGTGGAAGTTCTCTTAACCAAAGTAGGAATGCCTTGTGAAGGATACTTCTTCAGTGCTGCTTCCTTTTCTTCAATTTGCTAGTCATAAAATGGAAATCCCACCACATGTGAAATGTTTCACTGCCAAAATAGGAAAATAACATTACAATTTATATGTTCGGCACATTCTGTAGAAAAAAAATAACTGAAATATTTCATGGATTTTGATGTCAGCTTGAGTTTTCAGGAAGCTTATGCTAAAAAGGGCATCCTATAAAATTTTATTCACCAAAGAACATGCAGATATAATGTATTAATATAAGAAGTAATTAATAAAATTTCTCTTATGACTTAAAATGATCATATCAATAAAACAATGTATTTTAACACTAAATTCATTCTTCCTAACAAAGCAGTACCTATAGAACATGTGATGTACTTGGTGGTTAAGTGAAGCACTGCCTGCCACTATTTTAAAGAATAAGCACAAGTTGTTTTCCTTTTTCAGTCCTGAAATGCAGCTTTACAAATTTTTTTTTGCCTTAGTATGATTATTTTGATTTCTCCTATGCCTACAGGTGAGCTTCACTTACAAGGACCTGTGTTTATCAAAGAACCCAGCAACAGCATTTTCCCTGTTGGATCAGAAGATAAAAAAGTAACATTGAACTGTGAAGCAAGAGGCAACCCTTCACCTCATTACAGGTACAGTGTAAAGTTTCAGAATGCAAATGGAAAACAGTTGTAGCAGTTATGAGGTTTTGTTGTTTCAAGCTGTTTATGCCATTCTTTGGAAGCTACAGTTCTATGATAAATTGAACAGATCTGATTACATAAATATTTGAATCCATATGGTCTATATTTAATGAATTATTCAGTGTGATATGATTTTTGGACAAAAGAATATGGTAAGATCTCTTAAGCATGATATTTTCTTTATTTGATATATAATGCAATTAAATTTATAAAGCTGAATTTACATGTATTACCTGGAGCTTGTCCATTACTGGATAAAATCAAGTTGATCATAAAGGTAATCTAAAATCATAATTAAAAAAATCATTGTTCCTCCTTCCTTTACCATTTTACTGGGTACATATTTGGAGGTTAATTTGGTATGGATGATTAAAATATATTCTTACTGAAGTGAAATGATTGTATTTTGAAGAGAAAATAGGATTTTCATTAGGTTTTTATCACATTAACTATCTGTTTTTCTTTCCTACTACCAGGGATTAAACCCAGGACCTTCACATAGAGCTGCATGCCCAACCAATTAAAATTTTGTTTTCTGAAGGATCTGACCAAATCACTTAGGTGTCCAGACTAGGCTGAAACGTGTAATTCTGCTGGCTTAACCTTCCAAAGTTGTGAGTCACAGGATGCACCAGCACATGTGGCTCTATTTTTAAGATTATGTAAATAAGAACCTAGTCACTTGAAACTATCAAATATTATAAAAAGGTATAAGAAAGGAAGAGATAAAAATTGAATTTTCATCACCTTAAAATAAAAATATCAATATTTTAGACATAGATTGTCTGAATGTGACGAATATTTACCTGACTAGATAACATAAGTATTAACAATGTGTAGCCTTAGGAATCCTAAGGTGACCCACCAGAATGAGGTGAATTAATATAAATAGCATGTGGTGCTTATGTGGAAGGGGCTCAGAAGGTGTCCAAGGTGACTTCACTACCACATCAATTTTTAAGTACTGTATATCTCCCTTGAAGAACTCTGTTTTCTCTATTGCTGGGCTGGTACAAACTTAACTATAACTGCAGAACACTCCAGCCTTCCTCTATATTAATAAAGTTCTGAAGGCAATGAGTGGGCATTTAGACCATATTGAACAGTAATTGTTATTTTTATCCATAAAAATAATAAAAGCCAATAGTCATTGTTAAATTGGACTATGATTGGGTTGGCAGACATACCATTATTAATTTTTCATTTGTTTTTGTTTTTGTTTAGGTTGGCTAGGGGTTTATCAATTTTATTTATTCTTTCAAAGATAAAACTCTTCAATTCATTTATACTTTGTATTGTTTTCTTAATGTCCAGTGCATTAATTTCTTCTCCAGTTATTATAATTTCCTTCTTCTTCGGGCTTTGGGTTTCACTTGTTCTTCCTGATCTAGATACTTGTGGTATAGCATAAGATTGTTTATTTGGGCTTGTTCTGTTTTCCTATTGTGTGAATTTACCACTACAAATTTTCCTCCTAAGAGTACTTTCATTGCATCCCACAGGTTTTGGTAGGTGGCAACTGCATTTTCATTTGATGGTAAATGTTTTTTTAATTTCTTCTTTAATTTCATATGTGACCCACTGGTTATTCAGAAGATTGTTATTTAATTTCCATGTGTTTATGATGATTTGTAGTTTCTTTTTTCAATAAATTCCAGTTTTATTGCACTATGATCAGATAGTATGCTCAGAATAATTCCAATTCCTTTGCATTTACTCAAGAATTGTCCATGTGCTAGTATATGGTCTATTTTGGAGCATGTCTTGTCTTATTATTTAGCTGAGAAGAATGTGTATTCTGTTGTTGATGGGTGAAACACTCTTTAAGGTATACCAAACTTTATTCACAAGTTTGGTTTACCTCTCTTATTTCTTTGCAGATTTTTTTGCCTAGTAGATCTATCTTTTTGTGACATTGACATGTTAAAATTCCCCATTCTTATTGTATTGTTGCTCATTTGGATTTTCTTTTTTTAATTTATGGAAGTATTTGTTTTCTTACAATCACATATTGTTACATTTTTTAAAAAGGTCATTAAAGATTTCTGTGAAAAAGTATCAATCTTATGTCAAGATGTACACATTGTTTTCATATATTTGTGTGTGTATAAAATATAGGGAAGAAGTAATAAAAAGTCAATGGAAAATGGAAATATACTTTTTAAAGTTTCTAATACTAGGAGGAAATATACTATGTCTCTTAAGTAGATTGTAAGTCAAAGATACAGTATAAATCTTAAAACAAACATTAAGATTAAACAATATTCTGAAAATTAAATACTAATAAAATTAAATGTTTCAAAACAATTGAACTTTTTCAATTGAACAAAAGAAAAAGTTTTCATGATAGTAAAGAATTATTAAGAATAAAATATAAGATAAATACTAGAATGACAAATAAATGAGCAGCACCTCTCACAGTTTGGGAATAGGATATCACACAAAGTTTTAGTGTGTTGTGGACATAGATAATGTCCATAACACTTACTGGTAGCCAGGTGTCACCTGTGGGACTGAGCTACTGCTATTTCCTTGATATCCATCCTGTAGATCCAGACAAAATCATGACCCATAGGGTTCAGGAGAAGTCCATTTTTAGAGTATGCTGATGGAAATATCTTGCTGCTGTATACAAAAGAATAACTGAAAGACTGCTTTTGTAAACCTCTTATTCTCCTAGGTTTAATTGTTTGCCCTATTTGGTGGGCTCTTTCCATTCTCATTCATGGAGCTGTGTTCATTTTGCTCCCTCTCTACATCTTTTAGTAGTCTGTGTAGGTTTAGCTTTGTCATCATAAAATTCTTAAGTTGTTCTTTGTCATGGAAGCATTTCACTTCTCCATTATACTTGAAAGAGAGTTTTTCAGAGTATATCATTCTGGGTTGCAATTTGTTTTCTTGCAAGACTTGAAGTACCTTGCTCCATGCTCTTCTTGCCTTGATGGTGTGTGAAGAGAAATCTGCCATTATTCTGATGGGTTTTCCTTTAAATGTAATGTTTCTTTTCTTTTCTTTTTGTCTCCTCCCCACCCCTTGTTTCTTTTCTTTAGTGATACTGTTCCTGTGCTGAATTTCTGGGATCTTGATTATTATATGTCTGGGGGTGTTTTTAATTGGGTTGATGTTATTTGGAGTTCTACCTGCTTTAGTTACCTTAATGTCAGATTGTTTCCCCATATTTAGGAAGTTTTCTGCTATTACTTTTGCCCATTTTCTTTTTATATCATTTGTACTGACTCCTTCCTTCTCATTGATGCCTATTAGTCTCACATTGTTCATCTTTGCATCTTCTTGCAAGTATTGAATTATTTTTTCTTGCATCCTATTTGTTTTTAAGAGATCTTTTCTTACTTTTTCACTAGCTGCAATGGTGTCTTTAAGGTCTGAAAGTCTATTTTCACTTTCATTCAGTTTTGCCAGCTTGTGATTGAGCTTATATCATTTTGAATCTGCTTCATGCATTCAATTTCTTTTCTATATTGCTTATTCAAGGATTCCATCATTTTCCTATTGTCCTCCATTTTTTATCAATGTCTTCTTTAGAAGCACTTAGTACTTCTTTCATTATAGTTATCATTTTTTTTACTTCAGAAATTATTTCTGATCTGATTTCCTCTATACCTTTCTGCAGTTGTTTCTTTACTTCAGACGCTATTATTTCAGAGATTTCAGGTGTGTGATTTCCAGTTTCTTCTATGCTAGTGTCTTTGGCATTTGTTTTGGGTGGGCTTGGGGCCTGAGACTGCATTTTGTTCCTTCTGTTTGTCATTTTCTACAGTGCTGACTTCTGACCTTCAGTGTAGAGCTTAGAGTTATTGCCTTAGCACCTGGTCCAGATCTACCAAGTTCAAACTGTTCCAAGTGGGTGTGGCTTGGGTCTGGCTGCTGTGCTCCACTTCTTCCTGTTGTAGCCCTTGGAGCTGAACCCTCTGTGCCACTCTGGGAAGATGTTCTGTTCCTGAATCAGCTGGGTGGGTCTTGCCTCTAGCCTCTTTGCAGGGAGTTCTGCTGCAGGTTCCACACTGGGCCTGGGCTGTGGGATGAATGAAGATCCATGGGCCCCAGGCAGTCTCATTCACATGCTGGGCCTGTGCTCTGGGTCAAACGAGGATCCGGCAGGCCCTGGATCATCTCACTCACATGCCAAGCCTGCGCTTTGGGTTAATTCAGGATCCGGAGGGGCCCGGGTCATCTCACTCAAACACCGGGCCTGGGCTCTGGTTCATTTGGTTTTTCAAGTCTGCTAAAATTTGTCTGATGTAGGTGGGTACTCTTACATTGGGAGCATACATATTTATAATTGCTACTTCTTGTACCTTCCTTTAACAAGTATGTAGTGACCTTCTTTATCTGCTTGAGCAAATTTTTGGTTTGAAGTTGATATTGTCAGCAACCAGGATAGGTATCCCTACCTTTTTCTGATTTCCTGTGGCATGAAGAATGTTTTTCATCCTTCAACTTTTAGTCATGAATTTCCTTTTGAGTTAAATGTGTTTCTTGTATGCAGCATATTGTTGAATTTGCTACTCTGTTTTGATCGGTTGAGGCTATTTAGATTGATGGTAATAACTGATATTTATTGGCTTATCCTTGTCATATTATTTTCTTGTTTTAGGCTCTGTACTTTTTGCCTCTTCTTAAGTGCTTGCTCTGTTTGATGGTCCTGTACTGTTGTTCTTGAAGCTGTGATCACTTTTGTCTCTTTGGGGAGTATCTTTTAGTGCTCTTTGTATGATTGGTTTGATGGTCATGAATTTCTTCAATTGTTCTTTGTCATAGAAGTATATTATTTAACCACTGGATTTGATATATAGTTTTTATTGGTACATCAATCTGGGTAGGAAGTTAGTTTCCTTCAGAACCTGAAATATTTCCCTCCAAGGTCTTCTTGATTTGATGGTTTGTGTTGAGAATTCTGCCAAGATTCTGATGGGATTCCATTGTAGGTG